CGCAGCTCAGGCTTGCGATTCACGGTGAGATTCGGTGAGATCAGTGTGTGCACAGCGCAGACAAAAGGGCAGTGCGTTGACAACTTTTTCTTCGACGGAGCTAGCTCCATCCTGTGCCATGACTGCTGCAATTCTCTAAGCCCTAAACCCTAGACCTTAAACCCTAAACTAGAGGCCCTGCGACCACAACTTCTTGTCTTAGCCTTGAACGCTTGTTCACTCACCATTTCTTGGCTGCGCAACTCATTCGCTTGGTTGCCTAGGAGAACCTGTGTGAGTTTACAGGGCAGAAAAGGGCAAACCAAAGCGGGGCCCCGGTAAAATTTACTAGACTGAAAACCCGATTGTCTCACTTGAAAAATCTTCAAAATCCAAAGAAAAATTGCCTTGCGCCAGCCATTGTCTGAGACATTGCATCTAAGGGACCGAGATGTGACTGATCACCTAAACATTAAAGCAAAACATTTTTTAGTCGCTTTGGCGTGCTGAATTCCAAAACATTGCAAGAGTGAGAGATGAGAGAGAGAGAATTGCTTAAGAGACATCCTAAATATTCTTCAAGTTTTTTTTCTATCAGCAGATTGCAAGCCAGTAATTGATTGATGTGAGTGAGTTATTGCGCTGACATGTCAGTGCATTGCATTCCGATTGTGCGTATTTATGTCTATAGTTTATTGCGCTACGCGCCCGCCATTTGAAAAGACATTGATTTTCTGACTCTGAAAATTTGAAGGATTCAGAAATAGGCCTGACCACATTGGAAAGCAAAACAATTGCAGCATTGTACATAGCATTGTTTTCCAGTGAGCCCATTGCATGCAAAGCTTGAATTGATTTTCCAGATTTTCCATGTAGCGGATTGTTGATTGCCTTGATTTTTTGCATGATTAGTCTCAATGATTGATTGCGGTTGCTTGAATTGCAATCACAAAGCGATTGTCAGCTTCCGCTCCCATTGCTCCCAGAATTGTCCGATTGCCTCTCCACCAGCATGGCAGAGCAGATTGTTGCGTCCATTGCCAATGACACAGTCATTGACACGGACATTACACGCTGCGTTTCGAACCAGGGAGACATTGTTCGCGATAGAAGCCTAGACTTTAGGCAACGCAAGAATGCGGCATTGGCAATCATCCGATTGACCCTCATCATTGTCTCCAAGTGGGTCCCTTTGGAGTTGCTGAGGACGGCAATTGACAGCATTGCCAATGCAATTCCGGCACGAGACGAATTGGCCTTCATTGTGGGAGGTACGAGTGCTGGAGACACAGGACTATTGGGCATAGCTGAGATATTGAGCTATCTTGAGAGCTCAATTGACACCTTGTCATTGAAGATCACATTTGAAGAAAGTCAGTTTCGTCATTTGTCCATTGATATTGTTCGGCGGATTAGTGCAATATTGTCCAGACTCACTGCGCATTGTGGCGATGATGGATGAATTGCTGCGTGGTGCCATTCAAATTGAGCAAACATTGCCAGGCGAGCAGATTGTGTCACGTCAAGGAATTCTCCTCCATGTTACTTGTCATTGAAGAAGCTGCTTCGTGTGGCAACTGTTGCGCGGATGTCTGAGCAAGTGGAATTGCCAAAAATTGTATCAGGTATTGGCGATTCCCCTGCAGGTTGCACTGCTCATTGTCCAGGGCACTCCATTGCCCCAAGATGCATTTCCTGCTGGTCAAATGAACACAGCTCTGATTGTGAGTCAAGCCCTATTGAAACTTTGCCATTGGAGGCAAAATGGGCACTTCATTGATCAGAGCATCGATTTCGTTGCTCTCATTGTGGTTCCCATTTCGGACGACCTCGAGCCACTTTGCTGCATTCGAGCAAGACTGAGAAGAGCTTTAGGCTGCTTTCGGGCTTCCTTTAAGCCACTTTGCGCGTTTGGACGTACCTTGGAACAGATTTTGCTATGCATTTGGGCAACCACTTTGAGATACATTTAGGCGTGTCTTGGAACAGCTTTGAACGGGTCTTCTTGGAAGAACCTTTGGCGCTGCTTTGCGGTGAAGTCTGGCAATACATAAGTCATTGCATTTGTGAGGCAGATTCTTGTCTGAGCCTCTTGTCCGTTCCGCTTCATGCTCAAACACCCTTTCGGGGTGGAATTCTTAGCCGACAGACACAGAACCCTGAGGAAAACACAAAGTAAGAGCAATTCCGGCTCAGTTATGTTTCACGAAGAGCTGTGCTGTCCGCCTACCACACACGCAGGTCGCTCGGACCCAAGGACTACCCGTCCGTCGATGCCTATCCGCCAACACTTGCCCGCCCGCGCACTGAGCGCTGATCTGGACTCGTGCTGATCTGGTCATCTGAGCTTGGACTCATTTAGGCTCATGTTGACTTATATGTAGATTATGTTGGACTTATCTGGGCTCATGTAGGACTCATCAGGGCTTATGCTGGACTCATGTGGGCTCATCTGGGCTTATGTTGAACTCATGTGGACTCATGTTGGACTCATCTGGGCTCACTTTGGACTCATGTACACATGTGGCTCAACGGATGTCTCATATGGGCTCATTCGGGCTCACGCTAACCCCTGTGGGCTCATGCAAGGCATGCGGACCCCTTTCTCTTCTAAGCGCTCTATGCACAGCCAGTCTGAATGAAGTGAGCAGCATCACATCTTCAGATAAGCAGCGTCTAGGACTTCAGGAATGCTCATTTCATTCATGCTGGCTGTGCATAGTCTTCAGAAGCTGGAAAGTGCTATAGAAGAGAGAGTAGGCAGATTGACATGTCTAACATGTAAAGTGATGGTCATTGCTGAGAACACTTTGGCATGTGAACATCAAAAGCCATTTCTTTTTCTGGTCTTACCTCACCCTTCACTCAACTGGCGCAAATGAAGTTCGGGTCAGAGTCATTCCGCTACATCCAATTCGGTTAATGGAGTTGGAGCCGCCTCATTGAACAGTTCGCTCGAAGAACCGCCTTGTCGATACGGCTTTCACATCCGCAAGACGGCAAACGAACTTTACAACGTCCATTCATGCGGGTGAACACACAAAGTGGTCGCACCTGAAGCTTTGAAGAAACTCTCTGATCTTGGATCTGAAGGGTTCACGCAGCATCTGCGAGCGCTGTATCAACAGACTTGGATTTTCTCTCCACATGACATTGTTGGAATGAAGCAGCTCTTGTCAGAAATCTCATCCCTTCTGGCAGCGCCTCTATACTCTCGGTCGGGTCTGAGAAGGATGTCTGTTATCAGCCAGAAGTTAGCAGATTCGGAAGCGCCTAGCTGAAAATGT